TGTATGTATGTACTTAATCATTTCAATCCATTCCGGCGCACAATACTAAATAGAGACGAAATTCAATTTTAATTTCAACTGACTCACCATTTCTTTATCCTCTTGACTGCGCGGCCAAAGTGTTAGATTTATGAGTATTTCACCCATTTGTCGCTCTGGGTGATTTATGTCATGCAATGGCAGACTGACATCTTCTGCTTTACCCAATTCCAGTTGGGTTAAATCGATTTGCGCTGAACCCATAAAATCATCCTGCAATCCCCAATCGTAATCGAATACCTGCAGAGTTTTAGAATGACAAATTGAATTGATAATTAAAGTGATAATAATTTGAGTGAGATTTATTAGCATGACAGCGTGAATTATGGTTGGTGTTAGTGTATACCTAGGCAGATTAATTTGATGTGATAATATTTCTAGTTAAATGTACATTTGTTAATGGCTTTATCAAAAATGCAACCAAATATCAGAAATTCCAAATTGTGATAAATTCAGGTAAATGGTGTAAACTGCAAGCATTTACATCTACATGGAGCTCCTGATTTCTTTTTATACCTTTTATGAGCATGAAATGGTATTATAACTTTGGTCCGATGTTTGTAAGTACCAGAAAAAGAAGAGATAGACCCATTAAAATGTATACTCTAATGATCAGAACGGCGAGCTGATTCGATTTAGCCATGTCCGTCTGTCCGTCTGTCTGTCTGTCCGTCTGTTTGTATGTAATCTAGTCTCTCAGTTTTCGAGATATCCAGATCAAATTTGGTAGGTGGGTGTATTTTTATAATGTATTAATCATTTGTCGGAACCAGAAGAATCGGACCACTATAACATATAGCTCCGATACAACTGATTGTTCAGATATACAATTTTTCGTTATAACTTCTCCATTTATGCAGCTAGGAACATGAAATTTTGCAATACTTCGACCCATTATAACAGAAAACTTAGAGTGAAAATTGCAAAGATCGGGTCACTATAACCTATAGCTCTCATACAGCTGATTGTTCAGATATAAGATTTTTCGTTATAACTCCTCCATCTATGCAGCTAGAAACATGAAATTTCGCACTATTTTCACTCATTATCAAAAGAAAGTTTACAGTAAAATTAACAAAGATCGGGTCACTATAACCCGTTTATTGTCCCCATACAACTGATTGTTCAGATATGGGGTTTTACTGTAAAACTCCTTTATTTGGACAGCTAAAACCGATAAATTTCGTAAGCTATTTTTTAAATAATAATACAAAGTCTACAGAGAAAATCGTCAAAATATATGCTGTATAATCTTAATCTCCTATAGCACTGATTGTTCAGATACCAGTTTTTGCGATAAATGTATCTTCTTTATGTTGGAAGCTAAACCCATTAAATTGTGTTACCAGTTTACATACCGATCACGCAGCAGTGAAAATCACTAAGATTAGTGCTATATAAGGTATATCCTCGATACCTCTGATTGTTTAGATATGATTTTTTATATATGTATCTCCTCTATCTATGCCTGCTGTGAATATATAAATTTATTCAAATGCAGTAATCTGTTAAAGAAAAATTTTCAGATGCTCATGAAAGATATGAAGCCTTCGGCATAGCCGAAGACAGCGCTGCTCTTACTTGTATCAAATTAATTTTGTTTTATTGAAGTTTTTTTCAAATCCTGGTAGCCTCAAAAAAATTTATAAATTTTCACGCTTGTCTTTATTTTGTTCGTAGGACCAAATAAAGTGGCCCCTATACCTACCAAATTTAGATGTTAAAGTTTTTAGGACCACCACTAAATTCTAGGCAACCTTTAGTCCTCTGAGCTCAAATTATCGTACCAGAATTCAAAAGTATTACCCAAAGCATAATCATTGGGGGTTTTTTGCCTTGATACTGACTATATAAAATACATAATTATTTTTCTTAAAATTAAAAACACTCACCTTCACATTAATGGGCAGAAAGGGATCTTCGATGGGCACAATGAACACTTCATCCCACACCGGATTCAGGTCCCGATGAATGGTGCGCGATTTATGCAGCAGTCGACCGCCAACTTTGAATTTTACATAAGGATCACTAAGTCCTGCATAAACGGTTGGAAACAAAAGAGTAAAAGTGTGTATGTAATTAGATTTGGGATTAAGAAAAAACGCTGAAAATGAAGCGCTTACGACAAGACCTAAGCAAACAAATTGGATTATATTAAAATATGCTGGAATTTTCAAACAAAATTATTTATGCACGAGTGTGTGTGTGTGTGTGTGTCTGTGTGTAACTCACCATTCTTGTCCATGGCCATCAAATCGCTGCCGCTCTTCAGATGTATGCGCAACTGAAAGAAGACGTACTGTCGTAATTGTGCTTCCTTTTTGCGGCGCAACTCTTCCGCCTGGCAAATGAGAATGTTAGTAGTGTACACGTTTGGCATTAGTAAAGAGACACGGTGGCGAAAGATATACAAATGAAATTAGTTAAGCTAAAGTAGTGACAATCAGCCGAAATGAAAAGGTTTGAGGTGGCGAGTGTCTCGGAAATGCAAAACAGATTAAATATGCATTGGTGCCAGCAATGCAGTTGCAGAATTATTTAGAAAATAAGAACGAAAGCGGATAGAAAGTAGACCGAAAATGTGATAAAAAGTGGGTGTATGAGCGTAATTTAAATAAGAAGGAGAGATAAAAAGTGTGGATGTAAATTATTTAGATAAAGTATTGGTGTGATAAGGCATGAAACTATAAGCTGCAGAATCTATGCTATCATATTAGTTATATTATTTATATATGAGTAGGAAAAATATATTCTTTCAGTGCAGTTTTTGTTTATCCAGCTGCTAAACAAATGCAAACGTGGCTACATGCGTATATGACTTAAACAACAACATTGTCAAGAAACTATGTAGTAAGAATATAACATCAACGCTTATTATTCTATCATTTAGGATTCTCAGATGAAAATAGCCAGCGGTTCTTCATCCATCGACGAAGCAAACAAACTCTTTTGTTCTCTCGGCTATTTCAACCGCTACATATTAAAAGCGTTTTTCTTAATAAAGAGGAGACTTTGAACTTCAAAATTATTTCAGATATTTAAATTAAATTTGTTTAAAAAAATCATCATTCATGAATTTTAAGCTAGAGAAATTTTGAGACTTAGGTACCCTAAGGCTAAGTGGCCCACTGTGGTACCATGGGAGCAATTGAATTTAGTGCTTTCCTTTCTTAAAATTAAATCCCCTATAAAACCTACCCGGTCAGCAATGAAATCTAAATACATACTAGGGTGGTTCTTAAAATATAAACTTATTGTTATTTTTTTTAAGAACATAGTTCTTATATTGGGTATGGACTCGAGCCCATGTCAAGTTTCAGCTCCTGGCTCCATATAGTCGTAGCACTGTGCAGCGTTAAGAGATTTAATATCAACACTATTGATTTGAGCAGATTGTGTTAAGCCGTTACGAAACCTTATCCTTCATTGCAATTGGTTCTGCCCGAAAACACTGCAGAGGCCGGGTAGAATAAAACAGTAGCTTACTTCGAGCTCAGTCGAGTGAAACCTACTTTTTTTAGCCAGAGACTATTTGCATATATAGCCGTTGACTATGAATTTAAGTTTGTGACGTCCTTGCATTTTTTTTTATCTATGGATAATTCGTTTCGTGCGCGATGCTAGCTCTTCGCTTTGGTCGCCGCTCCAATATGTTTTGACCCTTAGGCGGTTACGGTTGAAAGCATATCAGTTTATCATATTTCTGGTAGGAACTTCTAAACTATTTCTAGGGTTTTACTAGAAGAGCAAGTTAAAGCCCCGGGAAAGTAAAATAATTAAGTTTCACACGCGCTCCATTTCTCTTGTAAATGAAAATTAGCCTTCAGTTACAAACTAAAAAAAATTAATTTAAACACACTGGGAAAATGAAATATTCGAA